AAAGGCGCTCTACAAACAAGCCACCCAGATATTCTTTCTTATGTTTCTTGAGCTATTCCCTCTCCCTCCGCCTGCGTAGGGCGATAAGTACAGGATGAAATAAATAAGGTAATTACTATTTCATCAAAACAAATGCCCCATCTCTCTAATGACTGTAAACATGCTAACACCAGACTCCTGCAGAATGACCTCTGGCAGAGGCCGGTTTGAGTCCGACCCGTTAATGAGGCTGATTGAGACAATAATCACTGATTGAACATAGGAGCCACTGATTTCCTGATTGCTCTCATGGGTCAGACTCATGACGTCCTTTATATTCAACATCAGCGGTCACTCAAACGGTATTTGAACAACCTTTACCTAACACTAACATGTCACCAAAGAACTTAAAGGAAGTTTATACAAGGATTTTCCAAAATGTTAAGAAAGAACCGCCCTCTCCACTTTTTGAACAAAACTCTCTGGTCTTATTGGACGAGCACGTATCACCAGAATGATTGACAGTTGGGAGGACCAATAGTCTTGATGATCCACCCAGAAGTAGACAATCTTTCGATATACCTTTAAGTGACATATTAGAGCCATATGAACCATCTGGGCCTAAAGTGGTACTGCAGCCTCTCCCACTCTCCCTGACTCAGGTTGCCAGATATGCAGACGAATCCAGCTGGGACCATAACAGCTGAATAGACAAGAGTTTTGTCAACAACAAATCTATAACCAACACCTTTTTCACAAAGATAGAAATCCTGGTTTTATTCCTTGTTTTGTCGTTAATGATTTGAGAATCATAACGAGACCTTTTTTAGTTCTGCGCCACATGGTACTTTACCAGTGAGATTAGCTCCACGCGGTGAGTTCTGGCGCCCGGATCACAGACTTTCTGATTGGTGAAACGGTGGAGGGCGGGACTTCACTTAAACTACTTGAACACCAACATTCTCTTGCTCTGGAGGCATAAAGCTTCTAAATTTGATATTAAAATCCAAAATTATATGGATTTTTTTTTTTGGAAACAGGAAAAAGCAAAAGTAATTTATAAACATTGAATCATGGTTGTTGGTTATTAATGCAACCCTAACCCTATCACCATCAGTTTTTTGCAGGCAGACAAATATCGGATATTGTTTCGGCTGAATATTTATGACAAAAAACCCGTTGCGATGGCAGCCTGGCCTGGCTTGGCCTGGCCTGGCCTGACTGGAGTGTTCCAACGATGATGTTTCTGAAAGGACTGAAGGCGCCTGACACCAGCTCCACTCGGCACAGTCTCACTTTTCTCGTTTACAGTAAAGACGAGAAAAAAGCCGGTTGGACAACAGCACGTCTTCAGCAAGTCACAGAATTAGATTTCACGCTGAAAGAAGGCGGTAATGGATCCAAAAAAGACAGCTACAGTCTGTCATTGTGCTCGACAGAGAAAACACAACAGAAAACAAAAGCATTCTCAGTTTTGAAAAAGAGAGATGCCAATAAGAGGCTGAGGAGGTGTTAAATGTATTTGTTTAGGACGGATGCAGCCCTCTGTCGCAAACGCAAAGATCATAAATGCAACTTCACAGGGTCATCCAGCCAACTTCAGCTCCAACAACTTTGGCAGGCAATACCTCAGTGAAAATATCAGCACATTTCTTGTATCTGTTTAAAACAATATTCTTTGTCTTGGCAAATCCTGTTTTAAGTTCATATTATACCATTTTAAACCCTAGAACACCCCCAATCCAATCAAAATGGCTTTAAAGTCTGGGTTTGAAGCCACTGGACCAGTCTGGTAGAATAAAGTGGCTCTTTTACCAGGATAAGAGGGCCACTTTAATTCAGGTTTGGTTAAAAAAAAGGTTAAAAAAACATGAGAACAGATTTTTTTTTACCTCTATACCAACCCTCTATGGGCGGCACGGTGGCTGAGTGGATAGCACTCTCGCCTCTCAGCAAGAAGGTCCTGGGTTCGAATCCCGGTTGGACCAGGACCTTTCTGAGTGGAGTTTGCATGTTCTCCCCGTGTCTGCGTAGGTTTCCTCCGGGTGCTCCGGTTTCCCCTACCACTAAAAATATGTACAATAGGTATGGCATGTGCCTCCTGTACTGGCACCCCCCACCCAACAATTGTAAACCGCTTTGAGACTCCGATGTGCAGTGAAAAGGCGGTATATAAATAAAGCTTACTTACTACTACTACTACTACTACCTAACCTCATGTGTCCTCACCCGATGTAAAATTAAAAGTACAGTATTTGCCATATAGCATTAATTGTGTCTTTATTTTTTCACAAAAGCAGACAAATTGTGAATCCAGAGCAGTCATATTTATAGCTGGTAAATGTGCCTCAGAACACGTGGGTGCATTAACTACACACAACGATCTGCCTGGTGAAGGCCGACGCACACAACGGAGGAAGATGGTGCGTCCTCGTGTCACGGTAAAGGCCGACGCACACAACGGACGAAGATGATGCGTCCTCGTGTCACGGTAAAGGCCGACGCACACAACGGACGAAGATGATGCGTCCTCGTGTCACGGTAAAGGCCGACGCACACAACGGACGAAGATGGTGCGTCCTCGTGTCACGGTAAAGGCCGACGCACACAACGGACGAAGATGGTGCGTCCTCGTGTCACGGTAAAGGCCGACGCACACAACGGAGGAAGATGGTGCGTCCACGTGTCACGGTAAAGGCCGACGCACACAACGGAGGAAGATGATGCGTCCTCGTGTCACGGTGAAGGCCGACGCACACAACGGAGGAAGATGGTGCGTCCACGTGTCACGGTAAAGGCCGACGCACACAACGGAGGAAGATGGTGCGTCCACGTGTCACGGTGAAGGCCGACGCACACAACGGAGGAAGATGGTGCGTCCTCGTGTCACGGTAAAGGCCGACGCACACAACGGAGGAAGATGGTGCGTCCTCGTGTCACGGTAAAAGGCCGACGCACACAACGGAGGAAGATGGTGCGTCCACGTGTCACGGTGAAGGCCGACGCACACAACGGAGGAAGATGGTGCGTCCTCGTGTCACGGTGAAGGCCGACGCACACAACGGAGGAAGATGGTGCGTCCTCGTGTCACGGTGAAGGCCGACGCACACAACGGAGGAAGATGGTGCGTCCTCGTGTCACGGTAAAGGCCGACGCACACAACGGAGGAAGATGGAACATGTTTCTTTTGCATATTGGCTGCATACTTCGGGGCTGATTGTCTTTGCTACAATTGCACGCCGGTTGATTGGCGAGGCGCAGCATGAATAGTTAATGCTCTATTAGAGAGCTTAGATTTCAGGACGACTGCCGGTGTTTGCCTTTTTCTTTTACTGCACCAAAGAGTAGACTTATGTAACGGCTACGACGGACACGCTCCTGCAGTGTCGGTCTGAAAGCTACACCACGGACCGGGCCTTTGTGGTCATTAATATGTTTCAATATTCAACTGTTCAACATTCAACATTTCTGGCAGAAGATATCGCTCTCTGAGATGCAGGACATCTCGTTACGCTAACAGTTTTTATCCACAGGCTGTTATCAGTGTGAACAAAGCACTTTAATGATTTGCACTTGTTTTGAAACTGTTTTAGTCGATCCATTTCACAGTGACATTTGTTTACTGTTTTATTTGTTTTATTTCTGTCTTTTAATGTTGTTTTCTGTCTGTATTTGTCTGTGCACACTGGAGACTTTTGCTAATGTATTCCAATGTGGGTTTTACTGCAAATGGCAAATAAACTGAATCTGAATCATTTACAGTTTGGACACATTTCAGAATCATTTTTATTGCCATGTGAGTAACAGGAAGTTACATGAAATAGCTTTGGCTCTCGGCAAAGTCAAAAGTAAAGTATAGAATAGAAGGCATAATAAAAAGTACTAAAGTATAACATTTTATAAAATAGAAAATCTAAATATTTTAGTTATTACAATTATTACAATAAACAAGTGCGCAGAAGGTGACGGCAGTAAAGTGACATTATAAAGGGCGGGCAGACAACACCCTGAAATTATTTTTATCTTTATTTATCTTTCGCAGTAACTTGCAACATTGATGGTAATGGCTACTATGGCATGTTATACTTCATTTTAAAACCTAATATCAAAACAAAGGAATAAAACCAGGATTTCTATCTTTGTGAAAAAGGTGTTGGTTATAGATTTGTTGTTGACAAAACTCTTGTCTATTCAGCTGTTATGGTCCCAGCTGGATTCGTCTGCATATCTGGCAACCTGAGTCAGGGAGAGTGGGAGAGGCTGCAGTACCACTTTTGGCCATGTTTTTACATATTGCTTCTTTAATTGTGTTATTTTTTTAATTTAACTGTCAGTCTTCAAACATCTCTTCTTGATACTTGGCCCAGTTGTGGATCCGTTCTGATGCCGCTAAGACCTACGTCAGGAGCCTCTCCAGGAACCCATCTCCAGGTGATGATGCTCGGCTTGGTCAGGACAACTGGAGCTGGAGGATTTTACTTAGTGTGCATGTTTTTAGTGGTAGGGGAAACCGGAGCACCTGGACTAAAAACTACGCAAGCACAAAGAGAACATGCAAACTCCACTCAGAAAGACCCTATTCCACCCGGAATTCTCTCCTGCTGAGAAGTGAGAGAGCTTTCCACTGCTATCCACCGTGTCTATCAAAATTTATGTTTTTGGAGGATTTCTGTTCTCTTGGCTCTTGACTGCATCTACCGGCGCCGCCTTTGTCGTCGTCTTGTCGGGTCTCACGCAGCCGTCATGAAAAATACATGGTCTATTTTTTTATAAACTTTGATCGGCTGTGAACACGAGCTTCTCTTCCTGACACTTATCACTTAGAGAGCTCCAGCGGTGACAGAGGGGGAGGTCTGTGTGGTCAGAGCTCCAGCGGTGACAGAGGGGGGAGGTCTGTGTGGTCAGAGCTCCAGCGGTGACAGAGGGGGGAGGTCTGTGTGGTCAGAGCTCCAGCGGTGACAGAGGGGGGAGGTCTGTGTGGTCAGAGCTCCAGCGGTGACAGAGGGGGGAGGTCTGTGTGGTCAGAGCTCCAGCGGTGACAGAGGGGGGAGGTCTGTGTGGTCAGAGCTCCAGCGGTGACAGAGGGGGGAGGTCTGTGTGGTCAGAGCTCCAGCGGTGACAGGGGGAGTCGTGTGTGAGGGGGAGGTCTGTGTGGTGAGGGGGGAGTCTGTGTGGTCAGAGCTCCAGCGGTGACAGAGGGGGAGGTCTGTGTGGTGAGGGGGGAGGTCTGTGTGGTCAGAGGGGGGACTGTGGGAGAATTCTGTCATCAGAGCTCCAGCGGTGACAGAGGGGGAGGTCTGTGTGGTGAGGGGGGAGGTCTGTGTGGTCAGGCTCACGTGACGGGGAGAATTCTGTCATCAGAGCTCAGCGGTGAGGGGGGAGGTCTGTGTGGTGAGGGGGGTCTGTGTGGTGAGGGGGGAGGTCTGTGTGGTGAGGGGGGAGGTCTGTGTGGTGAGGGGGGAGGTCTGTGTGGTGAGGGGGAGGTCTGTGTGGTGAGGGGGGAGGTCTGTGTTGGTGAGGGGGGAGGTCTGTGTGGTGAGGGGGGGGGTCTGTGTGGTGAGGGGGAGGTCTGTGTGGGAGGTCTGTGGGGGGAGGTCTGTGTGGTGAGGGGGAGGGTGTGGTGAGGGGAGGTCTGTGTGGTGAGGGGGAGGTCTGTGTGGTGAGGGGGGAGGTCTGTGTGGTGAGGGGGGGGTGTCTGTGTGGTGAGGGGGAGGTCTGTGTGGTGAGGGGGGAGGTCTGTGTGTGGTGAGGGGGAGGTCTGTGTGGTGAGGGGGCGGGGTCTGTGTGGTGAGGGGGGGGGGTCTGTGTGGTGAGGGGGAGATCTGTGTGGTGAGGGGGGAGGTCTGTGTGGTGAGGGGGGAGGTCTGTGTGGTGAGGGGGGGAGGTCTGTGTGGTGAGGGGGAGGTGTGGTGGGGGGGGTGTGGTGAGGGGGGAGGTCTGTGTGGTGAGGGGGAGGTCTGTGTGGTGAGGGGGGAGGTCTGTGTGGTGAGGGGGGAGGTCTGTGTGGTGAGGGGGAGGTCTGTGTGGTGAGGGGGGAGGTCTGTGTGGTGAGGTCCACAGCTGCTGATGGATCCGTGATAAAACATTAGTGTGGCCTGCTCCTGTCACACCGGCTCACAGAGGCCTCACAGAGGCCTCACAGACAGCAGCCACACACACATATTATTATCCCATGGTGACTTTGACAAGCTTTCAACCTCTCTCTGCAAATACACACACACCTCCTGCTGTCCATATTCACTTGGAATTGACTGAATATTAAAGTAGAAAACTAGAAATATGTATCATCATAAGATAACATAGACTTTATTGCTCTCACACTGGAGACATTTACACATTAAAGGGCCCTAATCTGTCAAAGACATGCTCTTTCATCTGTAACTGATAACAGTAGTTCAGAGATATTGGGATATCAACATTATTTTTACAGCCCCTAAATCTTGTTCTTGTCATTGATGAAAACAATAACAATGTCCCGCCCTCCACCGTTTCACCAATCAGAAAGTCTGTGATCCGGGCGCCAGAACTCACCGTGTGGAGCTAATCTCACTGGTAAAGTACCATGTGGAGCAGAACTAAAAAAGGTCTCGTTATGATTCTCAAATCATTCATAACAAAACAAGGTTTGTTATGAATGGTTGGTTGCAGTACCACTTTTACTTACTGCTCCTTTAAAGTTTTCCTGGGTTCAGATCCTGTTTGGTACAGAACCTTTCTGAGTCGAGTTTGCATGTTCTCCCTGTGTCTGCTCCGTTTCCTCTGCAGGGTTCGGTTTCCTATACCGCAAATAACCGTAAATAAATGAACTAATCACAGTCCGTCCCTGTTCCGTTCAACATTTTGAGTTAAGTAACACTTTATGGGCGGCACGGTGGCTGAGTGGATAGCACTCTCGCCTCTCAGCAAGAAGGTCCTGGGCTCAAATCCCGGTCGGACCAGGGCCTTTCTGAGTGGAGTTTGCATGTTCTCGACGTGTCTGCATAGGTTTCCTCCGGGTACTCCGGTTTCCCCTACCACTAAACTAATGTGTACAATAGGTCTGGCATGCGCCTCGTGTACTGGCCCCGCTCCCATCTCTGTGTGGAGTGAGAGACTAATGCCCAAAAATAACAATTGTAAACCGCTTTGAGACTCAGATCTGCAGTGAAAAGGCGGTATATAAATAAAGATTACTTACTTACTTACTTTATTGTGTCTGTAGGAGATGTGTCCTATTGGGCGTCGGTCAGAAGCAGTGGTCAGTAGTTAAGCTCCAGATGTTGATGCTCGGTTTGCTCAGGACCAGGGCACATTTGCAGATTACATATTTTGCACATTATAAGTGGCACTGATAGAACCTAGAAAGAGAACAACATGAAACTACACTCAGAAAAGAATCTGGACTCGAACCCAGGACCTTCTTGCTGAGAAGCGAGAGCTAACCAGTCTAATGTAAGATGGATTTTATACAATATTTGTTGTTTGAAAGTTGGGTTTTGCAACTTTTCTATACGCAAGATCTTCAGAAAGCAAATCTCCTCTTTAGTTGGTTCTCAGAGCTAGTGCCCGCGGCAAGCATGTATAAATGCATAGGTGCGTATCCAGGGGGGGTCTGTTCTGATCTGCACATGTGAGGGTGGACCACGGGGGGCTGTCCGACACCCGGAATCTAAACATGTCTCCGACCGGTCTTCAAAGAGCCCGGCGAGCGCTGCCGTATGTGCAGAGAGACCAGCGTTATACGTTGATATAGGATCCTCCGTGTTGGATGCTTATCTCGGTCCTATGAAGTAAACAGCCATCATGCATTCATATATGACAGCGGGTGCGTTCGCCTTTGATAAAGTGTCTGGGATTCAATCATAAAGTCTGATCTATCTCTGAAAACATTCAATAAATCAGATATTCCACAGAGACGCATCGGTTTGTGTGTTGCCAGGTTTGTCTGATGACTACATTACACTTGTACATATACTTCAGCCTGAGCCAATATCCACCGGCCGATCCTTCTGTCCTATTGTAAATGCTGCTTGGAAAATGCATCTACTTTAATAATACCATACGGGGGCACATATAAGACACTACACATTCCTTAGCTTTCCATTTTAGAGACTCAACCTTCGAGTCTATTTACCGTTTCCTTTATGTTTCCTCTCCATGGATCCGTAAGAGTTTTCATCATTTCTTTGTTCCTTTCAGAGCGGTGTCAAAAGCTTCGATAATAGAAAAATAAAACATACAGTTAGTGGTATGAATCAACCTGCGTTTCTTTTGCGTTCATTTTAATTGGAAACTTAACACGTTCAGAGTAACACCCACTTTTTACCAAATGGAATTCTTTGTGTTTGCGGCTTTTCTTTTCCTTCCGTTTCTCTGAGACATTTGCACAGGCCTGAAGAGCTCTGAAGTGTTTCTCCAATTAACAAACAATAGAAGTGATGGATGAATGAGCCCTTATTGCTAATAATTCTAACTGTGGGTGATAGACAGAGGGCTGAGATTTGGATTTGAGCGTTTGTATGTAGAGCTACTTCACGTTTGGTTTCCTCTTGAGTAATACCAGTGCGAGTCATATTTATTTCTAACATATGCACCAACATAATTATGTACACAAACAAGATACACAAATAATTAACTATACACAGTTTGGAGAGGGGTTGGACCAGTGGGAGCTAGGGGTGTGACGATATATCGATTTTTCGATATATCGCGATACTTTCTCCCGCGATTTGATTATTGATATGCATTTGCCAAGTATCGATATCGATTTTGAAAAAAAAAAAGATATATATATATATTATTTTTTTTTAAATTGGCATCAATACTTAATATATGGCTACATTACGCATCTCCATTCTATTAACCATGAAATCAAGAGTATTTGTTCTTTTATTTATGCCATAAATTGGCATATTGTATATTTCTGACCAATATATCAATAATCGTCATATCGTGATAAAATCGTTATCGTAATAACGTTATCGTGAGCTTTGTATCGTGTATCATATCGTATCGTGAGGTACCCTTAGGTTCCCACCCCTAGTGGGAGCGGGTCCCGGCTCCAAAATGTCCAAAATGAAGTGCGCTGACATGCTGCAGTACCACCCCGGGCCTGTGGGGGTGGACCCGGAATAAGAATTAGCCAATGCTAACATATAGCATCTTCTTACCTCTGGAAAACGTCTTTACAGGATGGTCCAAAGCAACGTTCCAGATGCTGTTGATGTTGAGGGGGGTGTACTGTATGTTTTGGACCAGTCTAGTTTTGCCGCTGTGGAATTTTGAAAGCACTCGTCAACTCTAAATCAGTTTTGGTAGTCAGACATGTCCTCATGCAATTTGTAACCGTGAAATTGTTTGTTTGAAGACGCTGGTGCTATGAGACTTGGGTGGTATCTCTGATTGCCACCCCCCCGACCCAGAAATGGATGTTTGTTAGAATGGCATTAGAAAAGCACAGAGGGCACTATGGCTCGTGTTTTCGCCCGCCTCCCTTCACCTCTGCTCAAAGCACTCTCTGTGACTGAGCCTTTCACACAACATTCACTTTGTAGCAACATCTGCCCACCTCCTCATCGGTGCCAGACGCTCTGACAGCACGCCAAAATGTCAAACCAGCCCAGCCCGGATTGAAATGAATCTCCACGCACCTAAACAACCCCACAAGGCCGCGCCAAGGAGACTCATTTAGGCCCCGACATCCATCTGAACCAGAAAATGTATTTAGAAGTTTATAAATCAGCCGATCATTGGCCTTGGGAGTCGCGGGAGACGCTTGTTCGGTATTTATGTCTTTGACCGGAGTTTTGTGGCTGTACTTCAAATCATAGAGAAACTGTAGAGCCATGGTTGGAGTTTTCCATTGTACACATTTCACAAAGGCGTGAGCGATACCAATGTTCATACTCTGTCTTTTAGTATTTGCTGATCCCTGATATGAACCAATACAAGTGAAGGGACTGAAAATAGACTTATGTATGACTGTGTGTATGAGTATAGTTAATCTGTCATGTCATTTCTGGGTCGGGGGGGGGGGGGGGGGGGGGGCAATCAGAGGCAGTAAATAGTCTCATAACGTCTTAATATATCAACTTAAAGCTTTTTCAAACAACTAAAACTGGAAGTGTTTAATCTTTCGAGCTATAGACCTTCGCTCACAAAACTCTTTGGTTCTATCCCTAGTTTTCACATGTGTTGTACTGTATTTTTGCCATTTTTTTAGACATCCAGAGCAATGACCAAAGAAAATAATAATTGTAAGTAGTAGTATATAAATATTTTTACTCTAACATTCTTGGGTTTTTCTTTTTTTTATTCTTGTATTTTTATGTATTCACAATGGTTTAAATGATCCTGACCATGTAGCTGCTCATGGTGCTCGGGGAAACCTCTCAAACTGTTGTCTTTTGTCTTGGGAAAACCAATTACACATATTTCTCTCTGAATATAATTTTACCATTTCAAGTTTCATCCTCAGCTGTCGCACTTTTGCGCCGCCATTTTGTTATGTCAGTCACACACCTGTCTAAGCCGTCTATTTCAGTATCCTGTCTCGCGTTTGCCTATAGATAACAAACTAGAATGAAGAATTTCTCAAAGTCTCAAGGTGGTAAACTCATGAATAATCAATTCTTGGTAAACTCTTGTTTTGAGAGAAAAAGACGCTTACCTTTTCTGCGTTTCCAAACCATTTTCATAGATGACCTCGGAACAATATAAAATTCCAAAAGTAGGCGGTTGGCATCGCCCGGTTCGCCTCAGACACAAATAGAGGAATATGTTTCAATAACAAGTACTTTCTCTTTCTAGTCTGCATCATTAACAGCTGGTAGATCCCAGGGCCATGCAGCCGCAGCGGGAAGAAAACAAATCAAGGACAATGTGGAAAACACAAAGATTTTTTATACCTTTTTTATTTTTTATTATTCAGCTCGTAGGCTATCGCTGCGCTGTGTGTGGATTTCAGGAGATTGTTATGCGGACAAGAGGAGACAAAGTGTGTGTCCGGATTGTGAAAGTGAGAAAGGAGGCTCGGCGGGAGAGAGGAAGAAGACTGAGAATAAACCCAGTTATAAGTGAATGGACTCCCGCTGCTCATGGCGACAGA